CCTATATGATAACATGTTATTCATGTATCCATCAAGCAGACATAATACGTCCAACGTAGCCACCTAGGTATAAAGAAGTAAACAATTTTAGAAGGCTATAATGTTTTCACAAAGAAGATGATATTAGTGTGTTGCCTTTGACTGACTCATTTAATGGTGAACAAAACCTCGATAACTCTTTTCAAGGCCAATCCTTCAAAATAGGAATGATGCATGTGTGTCCTTTGGAGTCTATCGTGCATCCCAAAACCCACAACCATGGACGGAGCTTCCTTGTAAGCAATGGGGTCAACTGATCCCAATGAAGTTAGCAAATCCTTCACTAATTTAGTACTAATCATGATTCATTTATAGATGATGACCCCACTAATATAGACATGATCCCACTAAGTTTTTTTCTAGCTTCGTCCTTTGCCCACAGCTACCACGAGAGTACAAGAGATCAACGTAGTAGTGGTTAAGGTTTGGGCGTTTGGGTGTTGCCCACGGGAAGTACATGGCAGACCGCTATCGAGAAAGAGACCTCACACTTCACATTTTTCTAGATATTTGTAGTTTTGTTTTATATACAACTTGAAATTTACTAAATTCACCACGAAGAGTAGAGAATGCATAAACTCATCGATGATCACAATTACTCTTATGAGGTGCTTTCAAGAAGAAACATATATATAAAAATACTAAGCTCCCCTAAAATAAAGCTACCTGGTGGGTCATGAGCCTTGTAGGCGGGAGGGCCTATGATGTCAGGCATGTCATACGACACTGTGGTAACCTGATGGATGTGCCGCACTTTATTCTGTGAATGGAAGGCTGAATGTGAAGCATCGTGCATGCATCCACTGAAAAGCGTCGTCTGCATAGCAGTGTTCCTTCCCTAGAGACATCAGGCCGGCTATGTATAGCACTTTCACCACCTCTTGACATCAGATCCAGCTATGTAACTCCACCACCAAAAATAAAAAATGGTCATCCATCCTACCATGGCTTAACCGCAAACAAAACAAGAAAAATAAAAAAGATACGTCCAGCCGATAAACAACAAGAGCGCCAAAAAAAGCCAATAGCAAAATGCCCAAACAATGGAGGCAGGCAAATCTGATGCAATACAGAAAAATGTAAGATATAAATAGCTTGTGCTTATGAAGAAATACTAATTAACGAATGTCATTAGTAAAGGGGTGTGTTCTTGAAGCAACCCCTCAATATGGATATATATATACTCTTCATATCAATATATAAAATCGCTTGATTCGTTCTCTCTCTCTCTCTCTCTCTCTCTTTTAACTTCATTCTACATTTTTTTCATATTTTTTGCTTTAGGTTTTCCTTTTTTACTTTTATGAAATATTGTGAACCACACACATGCGCGCAGACACAATTGTTTTGGAGAAATACACAAACATTTCTTATTAAAAATGCATGAACATTTTTTAAAATCTCAAGATCAAGTTTTAAAACTCATCTTTTCATATATGTGAATACCTAAATGCGTGAACGTTCAAAATAAATAAATACTTGAGCACAGTTTATAACCACGTGAACATTTTTTGAATGCGTAGTCATTTCTTAAAAGGAAATAAAAGTGAAGAAAAATAACAAACAAAAAGAAAAAGGAAACATCTGACCAACCTATGCTAATGGGCCGTCCCAATATATAAGGTAGCGGGCGCTATAAAGGGTCCTATCCGGGATAAGTTTTGTGCTGTTGGGGCTCTATGGCCAGCGCAAGTGTGAATTTTCTCTAAAACACGCGTCGTATTTAACCTTTTTTTAGAAGAGTGCTGTATGTAACTAAACGATGTCTTTTTTCTCACATCTAAAACCGACCTCTAACAAACGTGGAGGACGGCACCACCTCCTAACATAATTTTGGAGGAGCCGGACGACGAAGCCTCAAAATCAGATAAAGATCCTCTTTAGAAAAAAATCAGATAAAGATGTCTCGACGCGACCGGACTTCCACTAGATTTTTATAGGGGTCGGGAGGGAAAGATATGCTGTTTTCTATCAGTCCCAAGCGGATACTCCCCAGCTTTCACGGTCCGCTTACCGAAGAAGAGATGCGGGAGGACCCAGGGCCAGAGCAAGTTGGGTTGGGGTATAGAACCGTAAGCGCGGTGGGGGTGACAGAGGATGTGCTCGTGCGGTTCCTAGTTGGGTAAGGAAAACCTTCTAGCTCAGTGTAACTAAAGTCCACAACCCAGAGACCAACCCTGGGGAAAAAATGACTCATGACGAAGAACGACGCGGCAAAGCGCATGATTGTTTCTTGTGTTACATGAAGCCCACAAAATGAATCGACCCATCTAACAAGTGGTTATCTCCATTCAAAAATAATTGACGCGGTTTTAGTTGAATTTGTTTGAGGGGATTTTACTTTTAGTTTTAACTAAAACCACATCGGTTATTTCTGACAGAGGTAAAAAATCGCATGTCGGCGAGGCCTACTGAATTATGTTCTTGGTGACAAGTGTCTTGCCCATGTAACACATGTTTTCAGTGCTTCGACACAAGACCCACGCTGTAACCTCACTTGTCCTTTTGGGAAAATACTCCGACATAATCTGAATAATAATGCGACATAGCGAGACTGACATATCACTAGGAATATGGTCCCTGTCTGTTGTGCCAAATACAATTCGTGATAATTTGAAGCTCACAAAACGAGTCGGCGCCTCTAGCAAGTCATTATCAAGAAAGAGAAACACTAGTCGACGATGCCTGGAAAAATTAGATTTCCAAGATTTCATCCTCACTTGTTTGAGAAATATTCCAATTTGGTAATGTGGCACATCATTGATAATAGCTAGACGACGGGATCACTGCACGAAATGGTACCTGACCATTCGTCTCTTCCAAATACAAATTTGGCACACGCGACGGCTGGACGCATGTACCACCATACGAGTAGCTGGTCCCCGTCGGCCACTGCGAAAGGGCAGCTGATTCCACACACTGTCTCTCCTGTCAAGCGGGCCCCACACGCCAGGCCCGCCGGCGGAAGGGCCACGACGAACCATCACGCACTAAAAGAAGAGAAGTTGCTCAAAAAGAAGAAGAAGAGAAGACATCTAAATCAAACATAACATGACGTCATCTTAAAAAAATGAAGCACACTATATATTTCGCCGCAAGCATCCGAAACATGTACCACCCATGACCATACGAAAATGAACCCAAACAGTTGTGATCGACATCCATGAGCTGATTTCCCAGAAAAGGCATGCATGGATACACTAAAGCAAATTTACAACTAACTTGCGGCCATCCATGATTAATCGTTCGAATGAACTAATTTGTGGCGATGTGGCTGAGTGTGAGGGCAGGAAAATCATGTGATGGGGGGCTTTTATTTTGATATAGTAGATTCAGCACGAAGAGTAGAGAACCCATGCCCTCATCGATCATCACAACTACTCTTATGAGTTTTTTTCAAGAAAATATATATGACGTAGTTGTAGTGCTAGAATGCGAAGCCCACAAAATGAATCGGCTCCTCTAATGGGTCGTTATCAAGAAAGGAAAAAGTCATTATCAAAAATGAAAATTATATGCCGGTGAGGCCAGCTAAATTAGATTTCTTGGTGAAAAGCGGCTTGCACATGGACCACATGTTTACAGTGTTTTTGATACACAAGATCTCAGATGTAACCTCACTTGTCTTTTTGGGAAAATACTCTGACATAATCCGAATAATTATGTGGCATGATGAGACATATCACTGGAAAAATGGTCCACATCCACCTGCGCCAAATACAAATGTGTGATAATGTTAAGTTGCGAAAATGGGCCGACACCTGTACCAAGTCATAATCAACAACAATAATCAGATGTCGGCGATGCGATGCCTGTAAAATTTTCTTTTTATAACAAAAAATAACTCCAAGGAGCCAGCGCGCACCGAAGAGAAAGACGCGTGGAGGAAAGTTAAAAGGAAAAGGGAAAAGGTTAAAAAAAAAAGGAAGACAGCGACGGATCGATCGGGAGCGAGCGAAGCGAACAAAAGCGCCCCACGGACCTCGCCGTCCTTCTCCATGCCCTAGCGCGCA